TCCACAATCAACACTAATGGAAGCAGCAGTCAAGATATCAGATGATGTATTGCACTGGGCAAATCTGCTGCAAAAGATCTCTTTAAAGTGCTGATGAACACCGATGTCTCTTTGAAAGCTAAGGTACGCCTACAGTAGCCTTGTACACATGTGAGACCTGGACAATAAATAAGGAAGACCAAAGAACTCAATGCTTTTGAGTTGTGCTACTGATGAACAATACTGAAAGTACCATGAACTGCCAGAAGAACTAACAAATCTGTCCTGAAAGAAGTGCAGCCAGAATGGTAGCAAGAATGGCCAGATTTCATCTTACTCACTTTGGTCATGTTGTCAGAAGGCACCACTCCTGAGAGAAGCCTATCATGCTTGGTAAAGTGGAGGGTCAAGGAAAAAGGGGCAGGCCCTCAACAAGGTGGACTGACAGACACAGTGGTTGCAATGATGGGCTCAGGTATAGCAGGGATTGTGAGGCTGGCATATGACCAGGCAGTGTTTCGTTCTGTTGTACACAGGGTTGTTATGAGTCAGAGCTGACTCAACAGCACTTAACAACAACAACATACAAGTTTGAATTGGCCAAAGTTTTGTGATAGATATTATTTAGGTCACCTAGTGCCACTCTAACAGAAAATACCACAAATGGATGTCTTTCACAAATAGGGATTTATTCTCTTACAGTTTAGGGGGCTAGAAGTCTGAGTTCAAACTGCCAAGCTCCAGAGACTGGGTGAAAGCCCCTCAACCTTGGGCTTCAGCTTTACCTCTTGCTCCTAGCCCACTGAAGCTGGAGGCTTCCCTTAACTCAGGCAGCTGCTGACTGCAGAGGCTGACAGACCCAAGGCTGACAAGTATAATGGCATAGCCCCAACATTAGGAAACATAGCAGGGCACTAGTTCAAGTTGAGAAATAGTCCCAAATCAGCAGGTTGCTGAACAATGACTTGGCTACATGCAGGGTCCAAGCACGTCAAAAGCTGCAGAGGCCTCTCTCAAAACTTCTTCTTATATACTGGAAGCAGACCACGTCCCTAAGGAGCTACTCCACTGCTCCAGTAGAGTCCACCATGGAGTTGATTACCAGTCTCATCTTGGGGATAAATACATTCAGCTGCCAGCCACTGAAAACTAGGCCTAGCCAAGTCGACACATAAAACCTTAACTACCACAAATATATTTACAATGACCAAAGAAAAAAAAAAGAGAAAGCATGAGAAAGTAAGTAGCTGAGGAGGCTGCTTATGAACAGCCAAACACCTAAAGGGATTTGGTTCCTTGATTTGGAAGTTTAGGGTCATGTTCATAGGACATTCCAGTTAACTAGCCTAATAACATGTTTAATCCCTCTTTTCTACCTCCTAGTTCCATGTATATTGTCTGGGGTCTTAAAAGCTTACAAGCAGCCATCTAAGGTACAACTGGTCTATATTCTACAACAGAGAAAAAAGAAGAGTCGGGAATAGGAGGAGGACATGGAATGTGTGACTAATGTCATAAACTATTACTTCAAGATAATCTTTAAACCTTAAAACAAAAATATCCCCTGAAGTCTTCTTAAACCAAACAATACATCAGCTTAATAAGTAATAAAGTATCTGCCTTGAGCATTAAACCAAAAACCAAACTCACTGCTGTCAAGTCAATTAGCAACCCTTCCTTGGCAGTACTGCTATGGAAATAGATTGCCCAGAGTTCCTTCTGAGGAGTGGCTGGTGGGTTTGAACTGCCAGCCTTCTGGTCAGCAGTCAAATGCCTTAGGCACTACATCTCCAGAGCTCCCAAGCATTATACCCTTTTAAGAACTATATATATGGGATCAAATTGACTACAGCAACTTGAAAGATTAAATAGGAACTGTTATGGATTGAACTGTGTCCCCCCAAAATATGTGGTCAAGTTGGTTGGGCCATGAATCAGTATTATGTAATCATCATCCATTTTGTGATCTGATCTTATGTGCTGTAAATCCTAACCTCTATGATGATAATGAGGCACAATTAGAGGCAGTTATTTTAAAGAGGCAGGATACAATCTACAAGATTAGTGGTATTTTGAGACAATTGTTTTTGAGATATAAAAGAGATTTGATAAGCAAGCAGAGATCAGCTGACCTCTTACCACCAAGAAAGAAAAGCTGGGAATGGAGCATGTCATTTGGACACAAGATCCCTTACACTGAGAAACCCTAGATTCAGAAAAGACTGAGGACAAGACTCATGGAGGTCTCCAAGGAATGCCAGGCCCATAGATGTTGAAAGGAACAAGGACCTTCCCCCTGAGCTGACAAAGAGATGAAAGTCTTCTCCTAGAGTTGGTACCCTGAATTCAGACCTCTAGCCTCCTAAACTGTGAAAAAATAAATTTCTGTTTGTTAAAACCATCTACTTGCAGTATTTCTGTCATAGCAGCACTAGATAACAGAATTTGTTATTTTGTTGAAAGAATTTGGTACCAGGAGTGGTTTGCTGCTCTAGTAGGTATATAAAATGTGGAAACAGTTTTAGAATTGGGTAATGAGTAGAGATTGAAGAATTTTACAGTGCTGAATAGTAAAACCTCTGATGGCATAGTGGTTAAAGAATTAAGCTGCTAATCAAAAGGTCAGTGGTTCAAAGCCACCAGTCACTCTGCAGGAAAAAGATGAGGCAGTCTGCTTCCATAAAGATTTACAGCCTTGTAAACCCTATGAGTTTTGAGAGCTCTGGTAGCGTAGTGGCTAAGGCACTTGACTGCTAACCAGAAGGCTGGCGGTTCAAACCCACCAGCCATTCCTCGGAAGGAAGATGGGGCAATCTACTTCCGTAGTGGTACTGCCTCGGAAACCCAATGAGGGGTCGCTATGAGTCGGGTCTGACTCGACAGCATGTAACAACAACAACAACAAACCCTATGAGGGAGCTCTGGTGGCGTAGTACCTAAGCTATTTGACTGCTAACCACAAGGCTGGAAGCTCAAACCTACCAGCCACTCCTCAGAATGAAGGATGGGCAATCTATTTCCGTAGTGATACTGCCTCAGAAACCCAAGGGTGGTCGCTATGAATCGGATCTTATAGTGAGAAACCCTATGAGGCAGTTCTACTCTGCCCTAACAGCTTGGTATGAGTCAGAATAGACTCATTGGCAGTGAGTAATAGTAAAGGCTTCAATTGCTTTGAGAAGACTGTTTGTAGAATTATGGACATCAAAAGCAATTGAGAAAAAGAAAGGAGTGCTGTAACACCACAGACAGTGAGAAGCAGTGGCAGAGAAATGGTGGCCCCAGAACCACAAGACCAGAACAAAACAGCATCGGAGGCCAAACAACAGAGCAAAAGGGCTGGATGTCTTTGGGCAGGAGGCTTCACGGTGGAGTGGGGTGCCATTGGGCACTTGTCAAGAGAGCTAGGCTTGCAGACCCATGGAGTAAGGGAACTGAGTGCTGAGGCGTACTGGCAGAGTGGGGTGTCTCCAGGCAACTGTTTGTAGAGCTAAAGAGCCATCCACTTGTGGTATTTGTTATACCAATAACTAAATAACAAAGATAAGAACCACAAGGGGCAGTAAATTTATGTTAATGGGGGTGAGAATGGTTACACTAAAGGGTACATGTAGAAACTGTTGAATTGGTTTATGTTTTGCAATGTACATTCTCAACAACAAAATTAGTAACATTATAAATATATACATAAACCTTTGTGCAACCTTCCAATGACTTTCCATCTAATCTGAACAGCAAGCAAAGTCCTGACATGGCTTATGAGAGGCACCCCAGAGCAACTTCTGCTATCTCCCACCTCACTATGCTCCAGTCACAGTGGCCTCCTTGATCTGCCACAAACACAAGCTCCAGCCACAGAGCTCTCACCCTCTGTCTCCCCTGCCTAGAACACTCTTCCAACAATACAGCTGTGCAAGGCTCACTCTGTCATTTTCTTCTGGGTCCTGCTCAAATATTACCTCATTAGAGAGGTCTTCATGACTGTTCTATAAAATAATATATCAGCACCACTACCTACTCTCTTTTCCTTCCACCCTCCTTATGGTTCTACACCATATCTAATACAATCTGGCACTTTAGTGTTTACTTCTTTAGTGGTATAGAAGCTCCGGAAAGTCAGGGGCTTTGGACTTTTCTGTTTGCTTGTTTCCACTGCTGTAATCCCAGCAACTAAAACGTTACATGGCATATACTAGGTACCCAATAAATATCTGCTGAATGGATGAATAACTGAAAAGATAAAAAGTATTACCTGCAAATTTCTATCAATGCTATGTTAAGAAGAAAAAAAAAAAAACTTGAAAGCTAAACCAAATGCCAAACAGCATTAACTGTCTAAATGCAGAATTTAAATATATACCACAAATCCACACAACAATGAACATGGGCACAATCTATATATCACAGTAACAGGGAAATTATACTAAAGTATCAAGTGAAAAAGGTTAAGACCTCCAAATAATTATAAATTATTCCCTGTAAATGGGGAAGTTGTTATGTTGGTAAATGTCATGTTGTGTGTGTTTTCACCACAATAAAATTGGGGGAAAAAAGAAAAAAACAAATTGATTATTTTATAAAATATACATATCTATATACAAAAATTATAAGATATTATTAAAGTAAAAATATAATTTTCTATTCACTGGATAAGGAGCCCAGGTGGCACAATGGTTAAGCACTCGGCTGCTAACCACAAGGCTGGCAGTTGAACCATCTAGTTCCTTTGGGGAAGGAAGACCTGGTGATCCTCTCCTGTAAGATTAGTCTAAAAATCCCCGTGGGGCAGTTCCACTCTGTCACATGGGGTCACTATAAGTCAGAAGCACGTTGGCAGCACCGAACAACATTCATTAGATTCTTTTTTGTCTTGGGGAGATACTCAGGACCATAATTTACAAAATAAGTAAATATAAAGATAAGGCATAACAACTCAACCTTAAAAAATCACTGATTCAATATACGGAAAAGAATCTTAGTCCAACAAAATGAACACTATACAAACAAAAGGGGTTTCTTACAGAGAGAGCTGCATCAAAGGGAAGTCAGCTGAGGTATCCTTATTCATGAAATCTCCAGCCCATTTTGAAAATGAAGGAAGATACTCTTCTACATCTTGTTTTATTTCATCTTGATTCAGATTTAAGCGGTATCTGCCAAAATAAGAGATATTAAATACAGAAAAAAAATCCAAACAAGCAGTAATATGACAACAGTTTTCAGATTATTTGCTCCAACTCCTAACCACCTAACAAATAAAGAGAGGGGCCCCACTTATAGCTTTAAGATAAAAAAGAAACTTAGATACATTGCTCCTGAAATAAACAATGAGAAGTACAAACATAAAAATAGAAAAAAGACAGAAAGGTTAAGATCTGCCCAACCACCAGAAACCAAAAACAAACCAAACCCACTGCCACCAAGTCGATTCTGACTCACAATGACCCCCATTGTGTTTCTGAGACAGGAAATCCTTACAGAAGTAGATTGCCCCATCTTCCTTTCGAGGAGTGGCTTGTGAGCTTGAGCCTTCAATCTTTTGGTTAGCAGTCAGATGCCTTAGGCACTGTGCGACCAGTCCCACAAAAACCACCTATAAGAATGTTAACTACCTACTTCTGTCAGAAGTCAGCAGCAACTAACAGTCTATTCTCAGTTTTTCAGGATGCCCCTTAAGGTCAAAACTATTGCAGAAAAAAAAAAAAAAAAAAAACCTGCCATTGAGTAGTACTACTTAAATAGCATTTGCCTTTCTCACTCGCATTCTCTCATGAGTGTACAGTGGAGTTTTCTGAAGCTACAGGACATGACATAGCAATACACTGACTGCAAAAGCACTCCAGCTGTCTTGTATTGTTATTTTTAAAAACTTGCAAAAATATAAAACAAGATCACTTCTCTCACTAATTTTCTCCAGAAACTGTTACTTTTCATAAAAATAATAACATGTAATGGGTTATTATTAAATTAATAAACAAACATTCCAATAACCCACATAAACAAAAGCTCTTCAGAGAACTCAATTGTTAGGGTGAAAGGGTCCTGAGACCAAAAAAAATTTTTTTAATTTGTATTGATGTGGGTGAAAGTTTACATGGTAAATTCATTTTCCACACAGCAGGTCACATACACTTTGTCTCATGACATTGACTGCAATTTCCCACAATGCAACAGCTCCCTTCTCACTTCCTCCCCATTGTTACCTCTTCCCTGTGTCCTTCCCTCTCATGCACTCCTGCCCCCTGAGCTGTCTCTCTGTGCATATACACCCCTTCTATCCTCCCATGATTGATCTCTCCACAAAGTGTATCTACCTAATGTAAATATTCACCTCATATACCTGTCTTTCGTTTGGCTGGAAGCCACAAGAGTGGGTTCAATTCCAGACCTGAAGAGAAGCTAGGGGCCATAATCTCAGGGGTTCCACCAGGCTCTATCAGATGAGCAAAGCTGGTCCCCCCCCCTTTTTTTTTAATGTTTTTGAGTTTTGTTCCACATTCTCCTCCCATTCTATCCATGATCTCCTACATAGATCCCCCTCCAAATGGTTGACAGTGGTAGCTGGGAACCATCTAGCTCTTCTGGTCTCATAGACATATGGGCTGAGGATCACACAGTGTACCAGTCCCTTGGACTAATTGTTTCCATGCGTCTTTGGTTTTCTTTATTCTTCTTTGCTCTGGATGAGGAGACCTATCACTGCATCTAGATGGCAGCTTGCAAGCTTTTAAGATCCCAATCACTACCCGCCAAAGTAGGATGTGGAGCAATGTTTTTGTATAGTATGTTATGCCAGTTGAGCTTGATGTCTCCTGCAACCATGGTCCCGAGCCCACAGGCTGAGACCAAAAATTTGGAGAACTGCTGTCATAAACTTATGCTCCAAGGTTGTTTTCTCCAAGCTCCTTTTCTATTATTAAGCTTCCCAATAGTCATAATGACTCTAAGGCGTTAGAAGCACATCAGTTAGTGTATCGGGTTACACCTAGGTTTGGATCTTAACTGTATCTAATTTACATTTAGTAAATGTGTGATTTTAGGCAATTCACTGCTTATTGAGCCTCAGGTTACACAACTCTAAGATGAAGATGATAACTACCTCTCAAACTTAGTTTAAGAATTAAGTAATGTATATAAAATACTTGTCTTATGATAGGAAATTTAATAAGGTATGATCATAGCAGTGAACACTTATATTGTGGTAACTACAGGCCAAGTGAGTCTCTGAGTGGTGCAAGTGGTTAACACAAAGCTGCTAACCGAAAGGTTGGAAGTTCCAGTCTACTGAGGGGTGCCTCAGAAAAAAGGTCTGGTGATTTAATTCCAAAAATTCAGCCCTTGAAAACCCCATAGAGTACAGTTCTACTCTGACATATGTGGGGTTGCCCTGAGTTGAAATTGCTCAAATGTTTTCATTCAATAGGTTTATTTAATAGGACAAGCATTATTCTAGGTGCTTCATACAAATTAACATCTTCAACCTTCATTATAACACTATGAAATAGTTATTACTATCATCATTCTGATTACATAGCTAAGGAAACTGAAGCACATATGTTACTTCCAAACCACCAGAACTAACTGCAATTGATTAGGGTGTGATCAAAAAACAGAAATTTGAATTGCAAAGTAGGAAATGAGAAAAGTAGAACTTGAATAAGAAAGCAAAAACTTTATTAAATATATTCAAATTCTGAATGCCATGTTGTGTGGCCAAAGGCAAATGACAACCTTTATGCTCAGTTTCTTCATTTATAAGAATAAGAACTACTATCAGATTAAATGGGAGCTCTGGTGGCATAGTGCCTAAGGCACTTGACTGCTAACCAGAAGGTTGGCGGTTCAAACCCACCGGTCCTCAGAAGGAAGGTTGGACAATCTACTTCTGTAGTGATACTGCCTTGGAAATCCAAGAAGGGGTCAATATGAGTCAGAGATGACTCGACAGCACATAACAACAACATCAGATAAAACAGAATGTCTAAATAAATAGCCTACTATCTGGCACATGGCAGGTTTCTGAAAATACTTTCTTGTATGTCATTTGTAAATTGGTTATGTAGAATATTGGGATAAATTTTCCCCATATAAACAATGTTATCACAGAATTACTTTCACTAGGATTTGTCAACTAGTCTGGAAATCAAAATCATCACTAATAAAAATATTTCTGTGAAAAAAGCTTATCAATAGGAGTCAAGGAAGAAAGACAGCAAGACATGCCAATCTCTGCAGGCATTCATTTATAAATCCATTTGTACATGTATATATTATCACCAATCACCACAAAAAACCTGTAAAATACTATCTTTTTCAGAATGTCTAAACAAGCTGTTCAGTCATAAAGCTAGAATTTGAAACTAGGTTCATCTGACCCCCAAGTCCATACTTTTCATGTCACATCATTTCTAGAGCTAAGTAAAAAGTTTTTCATTCACTCTCTGAGAGCAGGTAAGGAATTGGTTTTGCACATGCATGAAATGTTTACATATTTTTAACTAAAGCGTTTCTGCTGTGCAATTTCAGAAACTCTTCAGGGTTACAACAGGCTACTACAATCTCTGGGAGTTCTGGTAGCATAGTGCCTAAGGCACTTGACTGCTAATCAGAAGGCTGGCAGTTCAAACCCACCAGCCACTCCTCAGAAGGAAGATGGGGCAATCTACTTCCGTAGTGATACTGCCTCGGAAACCCAAGGGGGGTAGCTATGAGTCGGGTCCGACTCGACGGCACATAACAACAACAACAAACTTCAATCTCTGGTTGCGTACTGCCTAGGGCACTTGACTACTAACCAGAAAGCGGGTGGTTCAAACCCACCAGCCACTCCTCGGAAGGAAGGTTGGGCAATCTACTTCCGTAGTGATACTGCCGTGGAAACCCAAGGAGGCGCACTATGACTTGGATCCGACTCAACGGCACATAACAACACTGCGATCTGGGAATCTGCACTGTAGTTATTACATTAATTTATACTGAATAATCTAATAGCCAAATAGGGAGCCCTGGCGGCACAGCGGTTAAGCTGTCAGCTGCGCTCCTGAGAGGTCTGCAGGAGAAAGATATGGCACTCGGCTTCCATAAAGATTTACAGTCTTAGAAACGCTAAGGGGTAGTTTAATCTGTCCTACAGAGTTACCATGAATGAGAATGGACTCAATAGTAATGGAACAATAGTCAAATACCTTACAGATTCCAAAGAAAGAAGTTATATAATAAAATTGCATCTGTAGTTCTTCTCATACTACTTACATTTCTTTCAGGTGTCTAATTTCTTGAACAGTTTGACAAGCAAGTTCTTGTAGCTTTTCTGGGGCAAAGCTATCACCTACTGCTTTTTGAAATACTTCGTGGAGAATTGTACCAATGAGCATTTGGCGTGTGGCAGAGTCAGACCTCTTGAAAAAAAAGAAAATCACACAGAAGGATAAGATCATGCATTCATTACATAGTATACTAAACCACTATAAGCAAAGTTCAGTAGTAAGACAAATGCCAAAATATTAAACAATGTTTATTTCTGATGGATGGGATTATAGGTAGACTTTCACTTTCTTCTACTCTGAATTACCTGAAAAATTTAAGTTATTGTTAATATAATATATATCTCCATTAAAAGATTAAAATAATCAAGACTGAACATTTCAACATATTCCCTAATATTTCACATTTTTAAAATATTGTTCTTTAATTTCACCCAAAAGGTAAGTCAAACAAGACAAAGCTCATGTGACAAGGGACAAGGTTGTACTCATTTCTTGGCCACAGCCAGCTACACAGAGGGAGCTAGTAGTTGGACCTACGGACTCAAGACCATAGTCGTAGAGGACATCAAGCTCAATTGTTAAAACATACTACACAAAAACATTGTTCCACATCCTACTTTGGCAAATAGCAACTGGGATCTTAAAAGCTTGCAAGCAGCAACCTAGATGCAATGATGGGTCTCTCCTCATCCAGAGCAAAGAAGAATGAAGAAAACAAAAGATGTGTGGAAACAATTAATCCAAGCGACTGGTACACCATGTGATCCTCAGCCTATGAGACCAGAAGAACTAGATGGTACCCAGCTATCACTAATAAATAGAAGGGCTGTGTATGCACAGGAGACAGCTAGGGGGGCAGGAGTGCATGGGAGGGAAGGACACAGGGAAGAGGTAACTATGGGGAGGAAGTGGGAGGGGAGCTGCTGCATTGTGGGAAATTGCAGTCAATGTCATGAGACAAAGTATATGTGAGCTGCTATATGGAAAGTGAATTTGCTCTTTCACCCAAATCACAATTAAAATTAAAAAAAAAAAAAAAAAAGGAATAGTACTTTATTTTCCAATTAACCTAGACCTCTCCCTAAAAGCTATCAAAAAAATTGGTAAAGTCCACAAAAAGTCCACTGTCAACCACTTGGAGAGGGATCTATGTAGGAGATACTGAACAGAGTGGGAGAACAACATGGAACAAAAAAAACTCGAAATCATTTAAAAAAAAAAAGGGGGTGAGGGAACCAGGTTTGCTGGTCTGATGGAGCCTAATGGAATCCCTGAGACTATATGGCCCCTAGCTGCCCTTCAGGTCTGGAATTGAATGCACTCCTGTGGCTTCCAGCCAAACACAAGACAGGCATATGAGCTGAATATTTACATTAAGTAGATACACTCAGAGAGATCAGTCATAGAAATAGAAGGGCTGTGTATGCACAGGGAGACAGCTAGGGGGGCAGGAGTGCATGGGAGGAAAGGACATAGGCAAGAGGTAACTATGGGAAGGAAGTGGGAGGGGAGCTGTTGGATTGTGGTAAATTGTAGTCAATGTCAAGAGACAAAGTGTATATGAACTGCTGCATGGAAAGTGAATTTGCTCTGTAAACTTTCACCCAAATCACAATAAAAATTTAAAAAAAAAAAAAAAAGGAATAGTACTTTACTTTCCAATTAACGTAGACCTCTCCCTAAAAGCTGTCAAAAAAATTGGTAAAAAGCTCCATCAGGAATTTTAAAAATCAAATTACGGAGGAATTCTCTGTATTCTTTCTTTATATGTATTTATTTCTTTATATGTGAGTATAAAACTATTTTAAAATATTATAATACATAATATTCAGAATTAGTATCACTGAATTCTACAATTAAAAATAGTTAAAATGGCAATCCTTTTGTTTCATATATTCACCATAATAAAAATTTGTTTTAAATATTCAGGTCTACTTTCTAACGTCTAAAAGAGAAGTTAATTTCCCCTAATTTAAGCAAAAAAAAAAAAAACTTATTAAACCCCAAGGCCAAACTAAATAAGTGACAACTGAAACAATTAGAAAATCTATTTAGGTATAAGGGAGCTCTGGTGGCGTAGTGCCTAAGGCACTTGACTGCTAACCAGAAGGTTGGCAGTTGAAACCCACCAGCTACTCCTCAGAAGGAAGGTTGGGCAATCTACTTCCATAGTGATACCACCTCAGAAAACTAAGGAGGGGTCGCTATGAGTCGGATCTGACTTGACGGCACGTAACACAACAACAACTGGTGGTGTAGCACCTAAGGCATTTGACTGTAGAAGGCTAGAGGTTCAAACCCACCAGCCACTCCTCGGAAGAGGTTGGGCAATCTACTTCCATAATGATACCGCCTCAGAAACCCAAGGAGGGGTCACTATGAGTCGGATCTGACTTGACAGTAGTGAGTTTGTTTGGTTTTTGTATTTAGGTATAATTTCTTTTTCCTTCTTATTCTTCTTGCTCAAATGTATTTTCAGTTTTCTAATTATTATTATTACAGGTTGTATTATAATAATAATAATAATAATAATAATAAAATAGTAGGGAATAACTTTTAACAAATAACAGGTTCCTCAACAAATAAATGCCATTGAGACAAAGAGGGTGTGTGGCAGGCAGAACTAACATAGAGAAAAGAAACTTAAGAGACATATGCACAAATTTAACATAGGAGCTCGTTTACTGATTCAAACAAACCAACTGAATAAAAAGATATTTTTGAGAAAAGACATTAGAGGAAAACTGGATACTACATCAATTTAAAGAATTACTGTTAATCTTGTTGGATATGATAAAGATACGGTATTTATGTTTGCAAAATGTCCTCAGCTGTATGAGCTCACCCAGGGACATCAAAAGAAAAAAAAAATCTTCAGCTGTCATTTACTTGTAACAGGATATAATGTCTGAGAACAGCACAATGTTGGTTAGTGAAACTAGGTGTTAGGTACATGGGGGTTCATTACAATAAGTTCTTTGTATATGTCTGAAATGTATCCTAATTTTTTTAAGAGATAGTCATATTTACTTTTTGTTTAATAAGAATCACATGAAACCAAGATTAGAATTACCAAGATATATAAAATTAAAAATTTCACCCTTTAAATTAGTTTTTGCATGGTTAGAATTATTTTATTAAGCTGAGTAAGACTGAAGGGACTCATGAACCTAGTGTTGAGTCCCAGCTTTGCCACTTATTACCTATGTGACTTTGGGTAAGTCACTTAACCTCTCTGAAACTGATTTTCCTTATCTGAAAAATGGGGTTGATTAATATCATCTACCTCACTGGACTGTTTAGTGCATTAAATTAAATAATAAATGTAACAATGCTCTGTAAACTCTAACATCCTATACAGACATTAGCTATTAATATTATTCACCATGAACACTCAGCTGGTAACCCAAAGGTTTGAATCACCCAGTGATAGTACACAAGAACCAGGACTGTCCATCGGTTTCCATAAAGATTATATAGCTAACCTGACTCCATACCCTACAGAATATCTCCAAATGAAAATCTAAACAAACAAATGCTTCCATATTATTTACCCTAAAAGTTTCACTCAGAACAGCTCTTCTCATACATCGAATACTACTGGCCACACTTGTACCAGAAATCAGCATATCTGGATATAGAATCATATATCCCAAATCTTTATCAATTATCCAAGTACCAGATGTGCAGTCTCCTTCCAAATGAATTATGTCCCCTGGCTCAACTGAAATAGAGCACCTGCAAACAAAGTAGAGTGAAAGAATAAATATATAATTTAAGTTCTGACATTTAAGCATATTAAGAAGGTTTTAAGTGTAGTTTACCAGAAAAATAAGTATTTCTAAATTTCTGCAGCTTTTTTTTTTTAATTAAATAACAGGATGCACTCTTCTGAATCAATTCCTAGTCACTCTATGCTTTTCTATGTTTGAAATACATATGAGATATACATGGCTTTTCCTTGTATCTCAAAAAGGAAAACTCCTTAGTGCTATCAATGTCTATCACAAAATATGTCAAACTTCTAATAGTGTAATATATAGCTCCAATTATACATTGGTTGTTTTAAAAATTAATTTTCTCATTCTCCAGACTTAGATCATGGGACGAGAAAGGGAAGGTAAATCACTAATTAGAGGGCAGACACATAATAACTTGGGTAAAGGGAAAGGCAATATACAATAAGGGGAAAGTCAGCACAAAATGGTCAAGGCAAAGAAGACACTGAGAGGAACGTAAGAGTTAAAAGCAATGAAGGTAAATGCTATTACAGACACAATCCTGCAATAGAATATTAACAATAATTTACGAGAAGATATATAGACACACAAACTGAACAGAAGTGGGAAGGTGAATAGGAGCACAACCACAAATACATGTAAGTTTGACAGAGCATATTTCTACATATGTATTTACATGTGTTGCAAATATATCCATGCATATAGCATAGCATACAGGGGGCAAAGTTATGAAAATCTCTTAGTCAAAACCGAACACCACAAGGGAATGAGTTCCTGGGCCTAGGGGCTTAGGACCATAGTCTCAGGGGAACTTGAGGTCAACTGGCAAAACATAGTCCACAAAGACAATGTTCTACATCCTTTCATCTTGGTGAGTAGTACCTAGGGTCTTAAAAGCTTGTGAGCAGCCATCTCAGGTACAACTATTGGTCTTTCCTCATCTGAAGCAAAGAAGAGGGGAAAAAATCAAAGACACATGGAAACAATTATTCCAAAGGACTAAAAGACCATGTGAATCCAGTCTCTACAATCCCAAGACCAGAAGAAGTAGATGGTGCCTGGCTACCACTGCCAACTGCTCTGAAAGGGATCACAATAGGAGATCCTGGATAGACTGGGAGAAAAATGTGGAATAAAACTAAAAAGATTTAAAAAAAAAGAAAAGAAAAAAGACCAGGCTTACTGATCTGATAGAGACTTGTGGCACCCCTGAGAATATGGCCCTTATACACTCTTCAACCCTGGAACTGAACTCATCCTTGTGGCTCAAGTTTCAGCCAAACAATCGACAGCCCTAGAAGGTGAACAGGAGCTCTGGTGGCGTAGTGCCCAAGGCATTTGACTGCTAACCAGAAGGCTGACAGTTCAAACCCACTAGCCACTCCTCAGAAGGAGGGTTGGGCAATCTACTTCTGTAGAGGTATCTCCCCGGAAACCCAAGGAGGGGTCACTATGAGTCAGATCCAACTCCACGGCAGTGTTTTTGGTTTGTTTTGTTTTGTTTCAGAAGGTGAACAATAATACCAGGGAAACACACACTGCAAGAACAATCAACCATACAAGATCAAAAGAGCAGCATTTGCCCAGGGATAAAGCTCAGAAGGCAAGAAGGGATAGGAAAGAAGGACAAATGGAAACAGTAAAACAGGGAGGAAGTGGGAAGAGCGCAGTTACGTTATAGAGATTGCAATCAATGTCACAACTCAAAATGTGTATGAATTGTTGACTGGACCAATTTGCTGTGTAAACTTTCACCCAAATAGCGATAAAAAGTTAAAAAAAAAAAAAAGATCTTGTAAACAGCTTTTACAGTCTTGAGGCATAAAGCCAAACTCAACATAACCAAAATAAAATCACATTTATCTAGTACAAGCTACCTAATTTGCACCCTAGTCAAAGAGCCAAAGTTAGACCCCCATCTTCTCTGCATCTCCCTGCATCCTTCAGATACCACACTTTACTTAAACACTGGCATTTGGGGTCTAAGAACTTTTTTCTAGGCTGTAATTAAATTTGCTCTTAGTGAGAACATAAGGTTTAAGCTGCAATCTGAAAACAGTGTACTAGGAAATAAGAACAATCGTTAATAAATAAGCCCTTTAGTATTGACTTTCAAAAGACAATAAAAATTAAAACGTTTTGAAATAAAAGGCTTGCGATTTTGAGAAAATAGGAACAATTTTGATTTTGAAGACTGAAACTACTGCCTTTATTAACAATTATTGCAATGTGATGGATTTTATGAGGATACCCTTAAGACTTTGCCAAATCAGTGCTCAAAGTAACACAAAAATTACCAGTCATTCCTAAGGATGCATAGTTCTTTATGTTCCAGCAACTGGGAGGCAGTGATGATCAGATGTTTTTCATGGGTTCCCTCTTCGTTCTGTACAATATTGACAGCTAAAACCAGGTACCGGTTATCCATTCCTTGGCTCAGAACAGTTTTAGGAAAGGAAACATCCACTTTCTTCTGAAATCTAAAACATACACACAAAAAACTATTTTAGCACAACCACAAAATAAGAAGCCACCCTACTATTACTAAACATTTTGATCAAGGACTCAATGGATCCTGATCAGAAGAAGGAATAATATGGAACAGAATTTCAAATTTCTATGAAATCCATACTTACTGGACCCATTGAGACTAGGGGAACCCCTGAATCTATTACCTTGATATAACTTTTGAATCTTGAACTAAAACTATCCCCTGAAATCATCTTTAAGGTAAACAACAGTTTAGCTCAGTTAGTAAAAACTGTTTATCTTGAGCATTACACAATTTTAAAGAATTATCTACATGAAATTAAGTAGACACCAGTAACTGTAAAGCATAGATGAGAAATTTAGGAAGCAGTGAAGCTAAGTGAATGGGGGAGGGGTGGATAATTAGGGTAGAGATGGCAAGAATGACGACACAACGTGAAGAACGTAAACAATGTCACTGGATTGTACATGCTAAAATTGTTGAATGGTTGTGTTTTGCCGTGTACATATTTTCACCACAAATAAAAATTAAAAAAAAAAAAAAAAAGAAGCCACCCACTACTTTCTAGACGTGCTTTCTATATTATCACAATGACTTTAGGTAAAATTAAAAGAGGAAAAGCATAGAATTTCAATTTATAAAAATCTTTGAGAAGCAATGCCATTTATAATATGGGCTTTTCCAAATATAAGCTCTGCAAAGAGTTGTATGGCACATTCATCACCGTGAGAATTAAGGATAAATTGAAAAATATTAAACAAAAAGTTCCTATCACTGGTGCAAACCTTCCCCAAGTACAAGAGAAGGTGTCTCAGATTCTACCAATTTTGTAGATGAAACAGAGGAATTCTACAGAAACATTAGTGTGGGTGATTCATTGGAAGTCCTACTGTGAGACACAGAATTGTATTTTTACATTAGGAGCATACTTAGAAAACATCTGATCCAATCTACTCTTTAATGCAGGAAAACTTTCTATAAAATCTCCACTGGGGTTTAACTAGTCTCTGTTTTGTAGAGAAAAGGAAGTTTAATACCTCTCTAGGTAGCTCATTCCATTATTAATTGTCAGAAATTTCTTATTCACAATGGGTAAGTGAGGTGTAGTAAATTATATAGTGTGGCTTTTCTAACCATAAGTCTTTGTAAATTCCATGGTAGAATTTGCTGTGAGCAACTGAGTAGTGCCCGATTGTTGTTAAAGTTATCTACCTGGGGTATTTCTGTTGGGAGCAGCACAAAGTCACTTTCTGGGAAGTTCGCGCTCTCCTAGGTGTATAGAATTCTGACGTTGGGATTGGTTAGTTTAGTCACTCTGCCAGGCTCAAAAGGAGCTCTCCTTGAGGTAGAAGGAGTCTCTCCAACCACTGGCTGAGAAAGATGTGCTGCTGAGAGAAACACACTCCTGAGAGACACACGAGACACACGCTGCTGAGAGAGAGACCTGAGAGACACGCACTCCTGAGAGAGCAATGTGCTGCTGAGACTGCCATCTGCTAAGTGAGACAGCTGGCTGTGAGAGACTGAGTGCATTTTTGAGCTTGAATTGTGGCCTGTTGCTTCCCTAATAAACCCCATAATCTGTGAGTTCTGTGTGGCCACTGCAGCAAATTACTGAACCCAGCAGAGAGATGGTGGGTGCTGTGGGAGGAACAGTTGGTGAAAGAGCTGGAGGGAGGTGGCATGTCTAGCCTCGCAGGCATAGGCCTTGGGCTACTGATGGTGATTCTGTCTTCCTTTTGTGGGGTTAGAGGAGGTCAGAAGATGTGGCCTCCTTGCCCCTTTGGCAGTAAGTCAATTTCACAGTATTTTTTTCCAATGATCCTAGCCTTCTGGAACTATGCAAAGTATGTGTAACCCCTTCTCTACAAATCCACCCTTTTCCCATTTTAAGTCATCATTCAAAACCCACAGTCATTTATTCAATTCTGACTCATGGCCACCCCCATTGGGTTTCCAAGGCTAAGTAGATTGCCTTATCCTCCTCCCGTAGAGCTGCCGGTGGTTTTAGAATCCTCGACTTTCTGGTTAGCAGCCAAATGCCTTACCCACTATGTCACCAAAAAAAAAAAAAAAATCACCACCATACAGTTGATTCCAACTCATAGTGACCCCCTTTGGGTTTCTGAGGTAGTAAATCTTTACAGAAGTAGATTGAAGTAGTCTTCCTTCCAAGGAGTGGCTGGTGGGCTTGAACCGCCATCCTTCTTGTTAGTAGTCAAATGCCTCAGACACTATGCCACCATAGCTCCTTACTATGTCACCAGAGATCCTTAATCAGCTCCCACTTAAATCTTTCCTGTTTGCAGCAACAGTGACAGTCCCAAAAGAGAATCCAAAGTCGTAATTTCTCCAATTATAACAAATGTCTTTCACTTTACATTTAAATTATCTTTGTCATCCAACCTTAGGTTCAATTACTGTGTAACCTGCTTGCTGGGTCACTTACCCAAACTAGCCCAAGGTCAGCTGTGATGCCTTAAGGACCTATCAAAAGGTATTACCAATCAAACCCCAAAATTCAAACGTTCCTCAGCAATAATTAGCATTGTTATTACCACTGAAAATAATTCCACATCAAGATAGTGGGTCAGGTGTGTCTGCTCGTTCACGCTGGCTGAAGGTGCATGGAGAGTTCTCCCACCTTGGGATAGGTTTCTCCAACTCAACATGGCGAAAACCAACTGCAATTTCCCATTATTAGGACATTTAAGGAGGCCGGTGGAGGGGGTAACTGTTGCCTTCCAGTCGATTTCGACTCAGTGACCCTTTAAATGAAGGTGGCCACTTCAAAGAATTGGCCAGTGAAAACCTTATGAATAGCAGTGAAGGTGGTCGAGACTCCCCCAAATCGGAAAATCCAGGGAAATGAATGAACTGCAGGGTCAGAGCCCTTGGGTTGTGGCCAGAAAGAAAACCTTATGAAGTGGACCCCAGTTCCAAGGGCTAGTCGGATCCCCCAGAATCCGAGCCAACCGCCAGGTCGCTCGATCAGCCACCCTCAGTCGGCTGAAGTGTAGGGTGAGGCATCTCCCGCTCCTTTGTTTTGAATTTCCCGCTTTGTTCCCAGACCTTCCACCCACTCCGCTCACATCTCCTGCCGCCGCGCAGCCTCCTCCCCGAAACTCTTGTCCATCAGCAGCTCCAGTTCGTCCAGCTGCTCCATCCTCAGCGCAGGGGTCTCAAATGGGCGCTAGAAAAAGTCCGGGGAAACGAGAGCAGCACCGAACAGAAAACCGCGCGAGCTGTCCCGCGCATGCGCAGACCTACTAAGAGCCCGCGGAGCCCAAGTGACTTGCGCGGAATGGCCTCTCCAATAGTTCGCTTTTTCCCTGTGGAGCGTATCACCTGGGCGGTAAAGGCCTAGAAACTCGCTCTTCTGTTTTGCCTTAGGGCATGAAAAGCAGGGAGCTCTTTGTAATCAGACCCAAACTGAATGTTCCCGCCAGATCTCTTTACGTTTCAACTCGTGCCCAACATCCACTCTAGATTTGAACAGAACCATTTGCAGTTGCCCAAACTCAGAAGTCCCTCTTTAGCCTTAAGATTTTTGCATTCTCTTAGATACAACCTCTCCTCTTTTTCTGAAAAACTTATTGAGAGAATAAAAGTTGTCAGATGGAAGCTCCCTCATCGACAATGCCGCCACTAAAGGTACAAACCTACCAATCTCTGCACCCACTTTATCCCCCTTCCACTTTTTTAAAAACGAGATTACACGGTGGGGATTGCAATCAATAATGTCATGAGCCAAAATATGTATGAATTTTTGAATGGGAAACCAATTTGTTCTGTAAACTTCCACCCAAATAAAAATAAATAAAACGGGGCAAAATTTTCCTCCTGACAAGTGCAATCTCAGGTATCCTCAGGATCCCACGACCTGTAGCATTATTTCTTCTTCAGTTATTCACCCCTCCTCCTGTCTTTGTCACCATGGCTCACTATTGGATTGTCTTCATGTTTGTAGTAGGAGATGATCTGCTATCTCCCATCTTTAAAAGATGTTGCCTGGATGAGACCTACACATCCTTCTCTTTGCCACACTTCAAAGAACTGTTTT